GTGTGTGTGTGTGTGTGTGTGTGTGTGTGTGTGTGTGTGTGTGTGTGTGTGTGTGTTCCAGGTTGGCCTTGAGTGATTCCCCTGCCTCAGCCTCCCAAACCCTGACATCACAGGCCTGTACCGTTGCATCTGATTCCTTATACCTCGTGTACTTTGTAACAGGTTTGTGTAGAGCTCCAAATGCAAATACCTGTGCTGGATCTGAGTGGCTGAGAGTAAATGGATTACGAGGGATTGGATCTGAGTCTAGACCTGGGGTTTTACCGTGGGTGCACGAGAAATCAGGGCTGGGACTGGAGGGGAAGAGTAGCAGCCCCAGCCAAGGACTTCGTGGGTGGGTCAGTTGTAGGCGCTCCTTGCTAATAGGTGCAGTCCATTTCAGTTACCACATGCCATCCTTCTCAGGAGCTTTTCTTACTATCCATCTTTAAGTCCCATGATCCTTTAAGGAAGTGTCTAAGATTAAAGAGGAGGAGGAGGCCAGGAATTTGATAATGAATTGGGGGTGGGCACATTTGAGAAGTTGGATGAAGGGAAGGGAAAGGAGAAACATGATACATTTTAATAAAAAGAAACGAAACTTTTGACAGAAACCATGTAAAAATAAGCTTTTTATAAAATTATTATTATTTTCTAGTTAGCAGTTCCAAAGAATGTGTGGGGAGACAATTGTTATTAAATATTTGTTTTATACTTTTTTATCCGTTCCTTATATAAAGTTGGGTCTTAACCTTTTTCTCTTAGAGTTACCATTAGAGTTTGGAGCACAGGGTAGGAAAACAAGAGGCAAGAGAGAGAGCAAAGCCTGACCTCAACTGTCTAGACTGTTTCGAGGCCAGCAGTGACAGGCATCAACCTTCCTCTGGGGTGGAAATGTGTGACAGGGAGAAAGCTGGTCAGGGTTCTTCCAGGACTGGGCAGGAACCTTAGGTATGGGGAAGGTGATCCAGATGTGGAGGGTATTTGCTGGGCAACACGTTTTTTTCAAAAATTTACGGCTCCCTCATCTTGGAACTGCTTGTCCAAGCAGAGTAGGCTAACTTGTGAACCTGCCTGCCTCAGAAAACAGTCCTTTCTGGGAGACAGATGTGGCTTGTTGGTGATGGTTGATCAGTAACAGTAAAACAGTTTCAGGTGGACTGCTTTCTGGGGCTGGGGCGTTCTGTCAATTACATTGTACTTTGTTAATGTTCACCATGCTTGAAAGTGTATTTGGTAATTATTTATCTAATGTGTCGTTATAAGAACGTTTTGTTTAAGTTGGATAGTTTTGATATTGGTGGGTTCTGTTTTCTAATTTCTCACAAGCCCTGGTAACAGCTCCTGTGGATTCCTCGTGCTTGCTCTGCTGATCCTTGTCTCCTACTGCATTGCCGGGTTGGTTGATACCTAACACACTCACTTCACTTGCTTAAGAATTGTATTAACTACTGGTTTCCTGGCCTTTTTTTTTTTTTAAAGTTTTTTTTTAAGATTTATTTATTTATCTTATATTTTCCAGATCTCATTACATATGGTTGTGAGCCACCATGTGGGTGCTGGGAATTGAACTCAGGACCTCTAGAAGAGTAGTCAGTGCTCTTAACCTCTGAGCTATCTCTCCAGCCCCTTTCCTGGCCTTTTTAAAAGAATAAAATATGAAGACATAATATGAAAAGGCACAAAAAGAAGCTGAGACTGTTATGAGACACAGGTGGGTCTCTGTAAAGAATTACTGTTAAGATGGCAGGACCAGGAAAGTGAATAGAGAGCACCATGGCTTAACACCTCTGCCAAGCAAGCCCAATCTCCATGCAACACACACACACACACACACACACACACACACACACACACACACACACCACTCATACACACATACACCACATACACACCACACACTCATACACACAACACACACACACACACACACATTTCAAAAAACAACTTGAGGTAATCTGGAACTTGAGCCATTGTGGTGTGTGTGTGTGTGTGTGTGTGTGTGTGTGTGTCTACATATATATCATCAGTGTACAGAGGGTGCAAAAGCCTGTCTGTAAACACATTGGCATTCTCCGACACTGCTTCAAAATCACTTCCACTTCTTTTTGGTTTTGAGATGACTTTGTGGGCACCCGCCTTGGTCCACACCATCCAAAGGAAACAAGACAAGGGTGCTAGACTATAGAGCCCTGGTCACCAACACAGCGTGCTCAACACGGTGACGACATTCAGGATCTGCAGTTCCGCACCACATTCTTCCCTGACACGGCCCACTCACAGCCGTGAGAGTGTGAGGACCATGGGCAAATGCCTCCGCATACACATGACTCTGGCTACCTTCCCTCTCCCAGCACAGGCTTCTCTCTGTTGGTTGCGCTTTCTTTTTACCTCTCCTCTTATCTATTAAGAGGGCTGAAAGGGTGTGTTGCGAACAAGTACGTTTATTGCCAACAGTTATCTTCCTGCACAACTTCGATGCTGTTCCTTCTCAGTCACTCATGTCACTAAGGACATGCCATCGCCTACGATGCAGACTCACAATGAATTCAGATCAGAACCCGGGAGCCTATGAAGGGTGTGAAACTAAGAGCAGTACCTTGATGTGAAAGCCACTCTCCAGTCTTGATCCGTTGATGAAACTGTACTCTGGTATCCCCCATCCAACTTCACCAACATACTCATGTTTATATTTTGCTGGTAGGCTCCGGTTTAGGGCAGATCTCCATAAATACTTGAGATCTCCAGTTTTCTCTAGTGCTGGGCGCTTTTCTCCTATATAGGTGGTATGCTGGTGAACTTTAGCCAAGTGATCTTTTATGTAGTCTGGACCTTAAAGAGACAGGAAGGAACACATGTTTAAAACCTTCACATTATTTTCTCTCTGTCCCTCTCTCTGTCTGTCTCTGCCTATCTCTCCCTCCTCTCTCTCTTCGCCTCCCTCCCTTCCTCTCTCTCTCCCTCTCTCTCTCTCTCTATCTCTCTCATGTGTGTGTGGCGGGGTGGGGGGGGATCTCAGGTATCTCAGCCCAGTTTACTGGCGATTGAACCCATTCACATTCTTTTCTAAGATGCCTTTATTTCAATTGTGGAATCAATAATATAGCATTTCTCAATGTTCCTAGGTATGATTGTAAGCCTTTTAAATAGCTTAATTCAATGTATCCTTATTAACCGCTGTAGAAGATAGACTCTAATCACCCCCACCCCCAGTTTAAGATAGGAAAGGGAGGCATATAAAGATTGGTTCTTTGTTCAGAGTCAGAGCCAACAAGCTCTCCACACTGGCCAGGCGGCCTTCAAAGCTGGGTTCTCAATGGCCCCACTAAACTCTTTTGTTTGTGATTGATTCCAGATAGACACATTTCAATTCTAAAGTTCCTCCTACACGCCCCTGTATTGACAAGAGCTAGCCTTCAGACACCGGTGTTTGCTTTGGATACATGATTTCTTTTTGTTTTGCTTTTGCTTTTTTAAGACAGGTTTTATCAGTGAAGCAGTCCTGGCTGCCCTGGAACTCTCTGTAGACCAGACTGACCTCAAACTCACAGAGATCCTCCTGCCTCTGCCTCCCGAGTGCTGGGATTAAAGGTGTGCACCACCGCCGCCCAGCTTAGATATATGATTTATTAAATGAAAGTGACAACTCCCCAAATGTGTTAGCAGCAGTTAGAAAACTGAAAAAATGACTAGATAGTACAGTTCCAACAGATGATGACACAAGGTAGGGGTAGCTAACATTAGCATTTTAAATGTAAAACAATATAAAAACAAGCCATGAAAGGAAAGACACAAACAGACATCCCAGGTCTGGGCAAAGATCACTCAGGTCTGCACTTTGAGGTTTGATGGTGTGAAAGTGGCGAAGAACAGGTCTTTCTGGAAGAATGCTGCAGGTTACAGAAAACATAGAGGGTTCACTCAACTGGGGAGGAGTTTATAAGTTCTAGAGCCAAAACGGGAGCTAGGATGGTGAAGGGGGCCATTAGGACCTGGTGAACAGAGATGGACACACACACACACACACACACACACACACACACACACACACACACACGTATCTAGGGCCGTTTGCCCTAGGTTGAGAGAAGAAACCACCACGGCCCACCCAGTGCCAGGCACCATTATGGTGAGCAAATATATGGTGAGGAATGGGTCACCACGGGTGGCTATGTTGGTGTCCGAGGGTCGGGGGCATGGAGACATCTGAGCTTGACCTGCTGCCGAGGACCATGTCTGGTTCTGTGGCCCTGTTGCAGCCAGGACTGTGTTGATGTCTGTAGCTCCTGTTACCGCCAAAGGCTGTACAGATACCCCAGGTCTGGGCCAATACCTGAGGCCATGGTGGTATCCGAGGGTCTGCCACTGGGGCAATACAGATCTGAGCACCCTGCACTGCCACCATTGGCCATGGTAACATCCAGCTGGGCTGCCGCCGCCGGCCATGTCTGGGTCTGGGGTCGTGCCACAGCTGGGGTCTGTGTTGGTGTCCATGGCCTGTGTTACCACAGGCAGGCCCATTCGAACTATGTACAAGGTACAAGTACAAGGGCTGTGCTGAGCTGACCCAGCCCCTCCTTGGCCCTGAGATTGGGAGGGCTGGCCCTGCCTCTAATAGGAGAGCTGTCCTCCTCTTTGAGAGAGTTGGCCCCACTACCCCTCACCATGGGTGTGGGAGAGCTGCCTCTGTCCCCCACTGAGGGGGGGTGTGTGTGCTATGGAACAATTTTTATACACTGTAAATATGTATTACTCTCATTGGTTAATAAAGAGCTGACTGGCTTATAACTGGACAGGAAGAGATTGGGTAGAAGAACCAAACTAAGAGGATGCTGGGAAGAAGGAGGAGGAGGAGGAGGAGGAGGAGGAGGGCAGAGTCTGAGGAGTCTTGAGCCAGACACAGAGGAAGCAGGACATGTAGAAAATGAGGTAGCCAGCCAGGAGCCATGTCATAGAACTTAGAAAAGAAATGTGGGTTAATTTAAGTTGTAAGAGCTAGTTAGTAACAAGCCTAACTATCAGCTCGGCATTTATGATTAATATTAAGTCTCTCTGTAGATCTGGGAGTGGCTGCCAGGACACAGAAAAGTCCACCTACAGGGGTGGTCCCAGCAGCCCAGTCAGACCAACTCAGCTACCACCCAGATACACATCCAGGGCTTTGAGTTGGCACTCCCCAACATCTACCCCATTTGTGACCTGCTGGAGTATGTGAAGGGACTGGCCCTGTGGAACCATGGCCACAGGATCTCCATAACTGGGCAACAGCAGGACATCCAAGAGGAGATTCCATGAGGGTCCAGTATGGATGGTGTACCAGAAGCCAGAGGCCTTGAACCTGACCAACAACACGTTACACCATGAGCATGTGCAAGTAAAGCTGTGTGGACAAAAGGGAATACGGCATGACACTCCGCAGCTCCCAGTGCCACTGAGATGAATGGAGAGGTGATGGAGAGGTGGGAAAGATGGAGGAGCAGAGCGGTTTTTTGTCTGTTTGATTAGTTGGTTTTTTGTTTGTTTTGCTTATTTTTTATTTTTATCTTATTTTTATTATTTCTTTTTTAGTTTTCCTTTGGGGGAAACACTACAAGGGTGAAGGGCAGACACAAAGAGACTAGGAAATGAATAGGATTGGGTTTGGAATGTATGAGGTGGAATTCCCAATGAATCAATTAAAAGAAAAAGAAAGTTATGTTTAAAAAAAAAAAAAAAAGATTGACGAAGGGCCCAAGCCTACTAACAGGCCCAAGCCTGGCAAACTCGCCCCCCACCTTCCTCCCACCCCTCCACAGATTTTTATCCTTTCCCATTCCTTTCCCTTGTTAAAGCTTTCAATTACCTTCCTAAAGCCAGCCCCCGAGGTCTGTTTCCTTTTTTGGCCACTGACTCATTACTTAGACTAAACACCAAGCAAGGTCCAGAAATCAAGATTCATTATTTGGCTATACAGGCTAATTTGTCCAATCAGGACTTACCAACTCATCCTAGCACCGACTTCCCCTTTTCTCCTTAAAAAAACCACTTTGCAGAGATACCTGCTGCTGCCTTTGTCTCATCCGGAGGCGGCACCTCACCCACTTCCACCCGCTCTTGCCCCTCTGCGGCGGTAATAGATCTCCTTTATGCCGAGCATTTGGTGTCCGGGTGTGTTCTGAGCCGACTCCAAGGGGGCCCCTCTACAGTTGGGGGTGCATTTGGGAGAACCTAATTTGTTAGCACGGCCACAGTTTACGGGCTGCGCTGCAGCATCAGGCTCCGCTCATCAAGAGCTCGGTATTTGGGGAGGCTGAGGAAGGCAAGGCCTTGGGCCAGGTGCGCCTGTTACCGGAGTCCAGATGTGGACCACCCCGCTACAGCTCATGTGCTGGACCACTTGGTCCTCAGGTAGCACGGCTGTTTTGGAAGGCTCTGGAACTTCCAGGGAGGTGGAGCCTCCCTAGAGGAAGTGGGTCAGGCAAGGCAGAGCCTTGAAGTTTCCTGGCCCCGCGCGGCACTTGCGGTCTGCTCTCTCTCTGCCCCGGGACCGCTGAAGACACACTGTAACCAGCTTTGGCAGCCAGGCTTTCCCTGGTGATGTCGCTTCTTAGACTGGAGCCAGAAGAAACCCCTCCCCTCCTCCCTTGTGTTTTTTTTTAAATTAAGAAATGTTTTAATCGTTTTACGTATCAACCACAGATCTTCCCTTCCCTCCTCCCGCTCCCCAGTCTCCCCCCATCACCAGCCCACCCCCTGTGCTTTTTTTATCAAATGTTTGGTCATGGCGATGAGAAACATAATAATCAACGGAAGGACTGGGGCTCTCAAGCGTCTCTCGAGGAGTTCCCATGCCGTTCAAGGAGGTTTGAGAACTCTTCAGAACCGCAGTTGGGCACGTGTTTTCAGAGTTTCTCAGTCACCGTCACTCACGTGAGGCATTAATTCACTCAGGAACAAAAACATCCCCAGTGAATACATTGTAGCCTCAATCTTATTTGCTTTGGGTTCTCACTGGCCAAACATAGACCCACCAGAGCCTAAGAAGCCATTTTCTTCTTCCATATGACAGCGGCTCCTTCCTCTCTGTAGCTGTCACAGGGAAGCGCTTACCGTGGCTTCTGAAGAGAGTCAAATACTGAAATACCGAGTCAGTCTTGGTGGGCTTCAGGCCAATCTTTCCGAAATGTTTCATTAAATGCTGCTCCCATGACTGGACTATGAAGGTGTGTCGTGCCAGATTGAGAACTTAGGAACAATGCCTGCATCATTTGCCTTGCAGAGAGTCAACAAAAGCAGACTGGGTAGCACTCTGGGTAGCTCAGTGGCAAGCAAAACAATGTAATTGTGGAATCAGAGTTGGTTTTCTTCTTTGTTGTTTTTGTTTTGTAGAGGTCATGTGCATGTATCCCATAGTCGTGGAGAGGTTTGGGGGAAATAAGAAGCCTCCATGAGTTTCAGTGATGACTAATAAAGCGGGGCTTCGCGTGTAGGTGAGCGGCAGAGCCCTAACCTAGCATGCCTAAGACCCAGGGTTCATCTCCAGCACCATAAGAAAAAAGAGTGTGGTTGTGAGGGGTGTTGTTTTGCTTGGGATGGAACCCAGGGTCATAGACACTCTACCACAAAGCAACACCCAGTCAGGAGTACAGTGTTGAGCTTAACTGCGGTAGTTAGAAATCCTGGTTTTGTCCAGAGCTGGCTGTGTGACCCAGGGAAGGTCACTCAACTTGTGTATCTCGGGCTCCACATCTGCTGTGTCGCCACCTTCCAGGAGAAGGAGTTTGACTTAACACACAGTGTTCAGCTGAAAATCTGGTCCGTGTGTGCCTAATCCTCTCTCTGATTTGCGGCCT